GAATGAGTTCGCAAACCAGCATGATCGGACTATGGGAACGTGGGTTTATGGGGGGTTTTGGGGGGTAAAAATAGGTTTTTCCCATTTTGACTCTAAAAACACAAAATTTCACAATTTCTTTCTAAACCATTTTGTAGAGCTTAAAAAACAAATAATTTGGTATATTGAAGCGTTACTATGCGCCTAATGGATACGGAGAAAATTCAAAAATATTGTAATTTTAAAATTCCCATGTTATTCTTATGGAGAATAAGTCAACTGTTGTAGTTTGCTTGTTTATGAACATATTTTGATCAAATTTGGAAAATACATTAATTTCTTACTAAACTACAGTACCTATTAACATTTTACGTAAAAAAAAACACTTTTTACTCTCCCTGTTGCAGCAAACCTAAGTATACTTGTTAAACTGATTCTATTTGAATAGGGAATACATGTGATATTTTTAAGGAGACATTTTAATGTAAATCCAATCAGGCAAATGGAAATTCGCTAAGTCTGCAGGTTTGCTGCGGCGGGGGTATTGTTTTTATTTCCAATAGACCAGTCAACATTTCATGGTCAAGACTGCATCTTAATACTTTGGAAACTTTGGGAGAAACCCTGTACGGTAGTCAATGTTATATCCAGCTAATATGTTTACGGTACTTTATGCAGTTGTCGCACCAACAGTGTAGTGGGTTCCTTGCTCATTTAAAAGAACACTGCTTTGCTTGTTAAGGTAATTTAAATAACCCCTTTAACATAACAATCATCCGTTAGAGAGCAACACAAAATTGAGCTTTTCCCAACAAATTTATACAATTCACAACTAATACCGGTATATTTAGAGTTTATAAAAGTGTCTATGATGTTTCGTATATTGACAATGCTTGTATTCTTATATACTTTCAAACTCTTATAGTTTGATTAACTGTTTTAGACTTTACTATTTAACAACTGAGCATATTACAATGAGTTAAGTCCCTGTCTAGTTATATTCTAATGAAGAACATGAAAATGAGTTTCAATCATGTGTCTCAGGACATTTTTAACTGTGAATGTTTAACCGAGCTGTTCTTAACGATTGACAAATACTCATCGCATCGGCAAGCAATCTAACATTGCTTTCCCATATTTTACCTGTTTCGTTAAAAAACAACTAGAATGTATCGTTATCTTACGGATTCTCTGAATTTGGGGACTTTGAAATCAGTCTTGCAATTTAGTTCATTGAAAAAATAAACAACTTGTATATCCTAAATATTTAACACATATATCGTATAATTGAATTAGCAGAATTTCGTGTTCATATTTCATGTATTATTTACACTTGCCATTCCTTAATCTAACAAGGCCAAGAAAACAAATGTGAACCCTTAAATTCAAGCTGAATTGTTAAATGATAGAGTCATTTAAAAACATATTTTGATATTGTACCTAACTCAAGAATTAAAAACTGTTTACATATCATGCATTCATTTAAATATAAGTATATAGAGGGTAAATTTAATTCAGAGATTCAATATAATTGTTTGTAAACATTGTTTGACAAAAATACAGAACATACGTATACTGTACGAACTTGACATGTGGATATGTGGATCAGTCAAGACATTCAGAAAATGTGTCATAAATAGTATATTACGTTACTAGTCCTGAAAATAAGTGTTTGCCGGACGAGTGTGGTCGTTCCCGTGCGAGACGAAGTCGAGTACGGGATTACCATACGAGTCCGGTAAACACATTTTGGACGAGTGACGTACGATGGTTTACGCCATACTACTAAATCTGCACAAATCCTTATATATTACCGCCAACTAAAGGACTAAAAATCACTAGTCATAACCTCTGAGAGAGGTTATGTTTTTGTTTATAACTACTCATTGCCACCCAAATACAGTATAATCAGCTGATTGGTGTCCGGTAAAACTCATTACAGTACAGTAGTACGCAATGAAACCCCATTTGATTAAGCTGGCGGCAAACAGCTGTTTTCTGGACTAAATCCTTGCGTGGGAAGTTCGTCAAAATAGTGTAGTGTGGCATAAAATCTTTTAGAGAATAGTAAGAGGAGAGGGACCATCTTCTTTAAGAAAAGCTTGCGCTCAAGACGCTTAATACAGTTAACACATACAGTAGTCATTAGGCTTTAGGCTGTAGGTATTGGCATTGATTTAAATGCAATAAATGGCAGTAAACAGTAAGCAATAGGCAATAAGTAGTATTAACTAGGCACTAGGCAGTAGGCACTACAGGCACTGCAGGCACTAGGCACGTCTGCAGCTCAGCGCTCAGGCGCGAGCCGCCTCGGATGACCTTCACTCAGGAATTTGACACAAAAATAGACCCCGCCATTAGAATACAGGTTTTAGTGGTCCAGACGTATACTGGCACATTGATATTATCCGTTCTTAAATTACGATTTTCATTATTTCCTTTTTAATTACGAGTTCCGATCGGAATTTCGAGGAATGTGGTTATTGAGGTGGTAAAGAAAATTACTTTTTGAATCAAAGATTAGATTTTTCTCGTAACTATTATTATTATTTTACTTGAATGCAGCGCAAATCGCGGTACTTTGATATCCTCTCGTGTTTTGTATACGAGCGATGGTGATTGGTGGGACAGGGAAAGTCGGGTCTACTACACTTCACTTCGACCGGTTTTGGGAGTTCGGGTAAATGCTTCGGCATAATTTATTGGTCCAAGAACAATCCATGGATTATTACATATTTATACACATTACATATACTCCATTCATTATTTTGTGGGGCTGTTCGTTTGTCACCACTATATTTTTTTATTTTTTTTTTACTAAAATAAAATATTTGTTCGGTACGGTATTTGTTTGGATGAATTGCTTGCATTTTCAGTATTAATGAAACTTTTTTATATCTGATAATACGTTTTGATTGCAATTAATTAATTGGATGACAATGACCTCACAGATCATCAATTAACAATAATAATACAATAATAAATATCAAGATAATCATAAAATTAACAATGGGTCTATTGATTATACATTCTACTTATAGGTTCTTCCTTAGCAACATTTTAAATTACGTTTTGGAGTTAACTAAAAAAATCTACTAATTTCTATTGATTTTCGCCTAGTTTTATAGTGTCTATAATTTGGTAAGATTCCTTAAATATTTACCATGTTAATTACATTATTTAAATTAATATTATTAACGAATACAGATATGTTAAATAGATTTTTGCCATTGATATCTCCATAATAAAGAAAATAAATTATTCAATGATTTACATTTATGGTAACTGTTAAAGCCATAACATTTTATTCAACCTCAATCTGATTGTAATTAATTAATGATTGTAATTAATTAATAGTCCAAAAATAAATGTTTAGCTCTTTACACAAAATAATTAATTGAAAAATTTGATGAGGATACTATTCATTGTAATTAGTTAAGTGATGAGTGATGATTTGGCAAGAAAATGTCGACATTTGACGTGGGAGTATGAGGGGCCGATCTGACATGTACATTACCTGTCAGATAGTCCATCTTTCCAATCTGGTGAAGTGGTGAGAATACACACTGTCTGACAGACATTACCATGCCCACTAGCCTTCACTTGCATAACACTTAACTCTGTAAAACTTCCCCCTTCAATCCACCGACATTTCAACTTTTATATAGAAGTGAATAAATGGTGTCTTGCTCTTTGGAGGACAATCATATAGTTACATAGTTGACAGGAAATTAATCTCCCAAGAATTCCCCTGTCAATTTGTTATACAATTTGTACTAAGTTGGGTGGATAGGTCTTAATCCATGCGGAGTGTTACTATGAATCACAGTCAATTACTGTACTTTGATATCTCCCATTGGATTGCCCAGTCTATAATATCACACTATTAGCTGACATTCAATGAATCAATGGTGTTTAGAGTCTTGGATATACCTGTAAATGGGAGATCTTTTAAAATGTTTAAAGACAAAATAGAGCGAGTACTGTACCCTGCGAGTTCTGTACCGTGCGAGCATTGACCAAGCGAGTACATTGTGCTGAACTTTTTTACATCCTAAACCCTGGATGAAGAAACTTTTGAATAGCAACTGCCTCCTAGATGCATAACCAACACCTGAGTAGAAACTGCGTCATGAGGGTTTGGGCAACATATGGCCCAAAAAATTCTCTGGGTCCTTGGAAATCTACGGCAACATTTCTCAAATTGTATTATATAAAAGCCAAAGCCCTCACTGACTCACTCACTCATCACTAATTCTCCCACTTCCCATTTACCTAGGAGGCTGAAATTCGGTACACCGATTCTTTGGGCATTAAATAGGAAAACTAAGTAGTTTTTATTCTGATCGGGCTTTCGGGCTCCGCCCCAGTGGCTCTGGAGTTTCCCATGTTAACCTTATGATTTTTCATATTTAAAAGGAATTAATGAATCTTAACAGCTGTTTCAATTAAACAAGTTGGTTCTGTTCTATGATTTTCAATAGCATTAAAGTTACAAGGATTACCAACAGGGTGCAGCGCTATTATTTTTTTTTTAATTTATGATAACAGCTAATTTGCAACCAAAAGGTGAGTGAGCGTAGCGAACAAAATCTGGAGGCGAGTTAGCGTAGCGAACGAGCTAACCTGAAGGCAAGAGAGCGCAGCGAACGAGCTCCAACCTAAAGGTGAGTGAGCGTAGCGAACGAACTTCAACCAGGACGTGAATGAGCCATGCGAATACTTATGAAGTTAAACGGGGCAAAGCCCGCGGGTACAGCTAGTTGTATTATAAAAGTGTGTTTAAATTTGTGTTTGGTTGAATTATTTTCTAATGACAATAAACAAACCACTTCGCTATTAGACCACTTTATTCAACAAAAATATATTTATTGTTATGTCTTCTGTTGACCCAACTGAAATGGACACCTAGAAGCAAATGTTGGTACAGGACTCAGTCAAAATGTGTTACACCACATGTTATTATACTTAAGTGATGGTATAATGTTTTGTTATTTGTTAATTGTTGTTGTGTTGTTTAGGTGTTGTTTTGGGAGGTGATTCTGGCTGCCACCCATGGCCTCGCTGGACAATTTGTCCTTGCAACCTTCTCTCTCTAATACCCAGTCTGATGTAAGTACTTTTGTCATCAAAATAAACATTATTTTCCTAATGTTGCAATAACTATGCAGTTAGTGTTCACAGCGATTGATACACTATAAATATGGTTAATTAATAGCCTTGCTTGTAGCCATATCAAATCTGAATTATGCTTGACAAAACAAGCCAGAATATTAACATTCACAGAATGATGATCCCCAAAACTCTTCCCCAGTGAACTAAGAATTCCAAAACTAGCTCTCTTAACCAACAAACTTTAATATTCCATCTGATGTTTACAGTTTATAACTCTTTGTATTAAAGCTATAATGAGACTCGTCTTTTGTGCTTCACTAGACATGACTGGCATCCAAGCCAATGTTTGGTTTTCCAGAATAGCTATGATCTCATAGCTTGTCTTGACGAGAGTGTAAACTTACTTTGTCAATAGAGTAGTCAACAATTTCAAACTGAGTCTCAAATCTTAAATCATGCTTATTGATGTCAAAGCACTGCAATGGCAATTTTTTGCATTTTTTTTCCAAAACATCATGGCTTAAAACTATTGTAATGGTTGGATAGTCAAATATTTAGCTTAAATGCTGTATTCTATTCTTCTCAGTCAATAGAAAATTAGAGTTTTGCTTCATGAACACTACTGCCCTGTATTAGGATGACTAAAGGTCTTGTATTTTCTTGATCACATATGTATCCTTTATTTGAATACTGTAGAGGTTTTATCTTATTTACTACGGAATAAATTTTCTTACCCATGAGATATTTTAATGCTGATCCAATGACCCATGTACAGGTTTTATGTTTAGAGTTTTGAGAATGATGAGAGAGGCTAGATATATTAACTAATTTCACCTTACAAATAAAATAAACAAACCGTCTTTTATCAGTCTACATAGTGCTTCTTGTATATGTAAATGTTATGTTATACTTTACTGTGCCATAGGTAAAACAAGGACCAAATTTGTCGCTTTAGCAATGCAAAATTCACTTATATTTTACGGATAACGTATTCCCCTTGGTTGGGATCCTGACAATCCTTCAAAAACCCTGATTTAAAAACATGCATGGCAGGAATTGTAAACATCCTGTGTATGGCTTAGGGGAAATTAAAGTTAATGTGAAAATTTGTTTGTATTGTTGGGTGCTCTTAATACTAGCTTCCAAGAAAATATAAGAAATCTTACGGAAGGAGAACACATGACTATTTAGATCATACTTGATATGTAAGGGAAAACATCCTCTCTTTCAATTTTCTCTTCCAAACACTGTTTGGAATACCACCAGACACTTCGTACATCAGGGTGGTGACATTGAAAGTGTTCTGTGGTGTGCTGATAGGTGGAGCCAGAGGGGACGTCAGAGTTACCGGCGGCCAGCCAAGCTGTGTTCCTGGAGAAGGTGCGGCAGAGCAACGCGGCGTGCCAGGCTGGAGACTACGCCAAGGCAGTCGCTCTGTACTCCGACGCCCTCCAGTTGGACCCGACCAATCACATCCTCTACTCCAACAGGTCTGCCGCCCTTGTCAAGATGGGGCAGTTCACTCAAGCGCTCCAGGATGCCACCAGGGCGAGGGAGCTCAACCCAAAGTGGCCAAAGGTACATTCAAGTGTATTGTAAAGGATTAAACAATAATACAGTACACTCAGTAAAAAATGACTGGTTTTCTGTCTATCTGTATGTATGTGTTTAAAAAATATATCCATTTCTTTTTAACTCCATAAGTGGTTAACATTAAACTTGGTAGATGTTTAGAGACAGACAGTGACAGCTACGTTTAATATGAAGTCAATTAAGACAGAACATATTGCTGTACCTGCATGATAAATTGTGGTATGAAGGAAGTTGTAGGTACAAAAGAGCTATTTCTTGAATTAGTAGAGAGTTATTGACTCTAGTTCAAAACACTAAAGAGTAATAATTGTCGTAAAATAAACTTGATATTGTAGATGCCAAATACTCTTTCATAGGAATATAAATCTGAGTATTGGATGATCGTAGAAAAAAAAACCATTTTTCATTTAGACTTATTTGTAATTTTTTTTTATTTAAATATTCATGTCTGTTTAAAACAATCTCATAGATTCTGTGTCACCTCTTACGCCCTGAACTGAATGCTCCGTTGCTATTGCACTGTTGTTTAGGAATACTTTTTATATGATCAACATTCTTTGCAGGCATACTACAGGCAAGGCGTAGCCCTGCAATGCCTCGGACGCCACGGAGATGCCCTCGCAGCTTTCAGCTCCGGACTTGCTCAGGAACCAAAGTCAACCCAGCTTCTGGCTGGACTGGTAGAGGCTTCTATGAAGTCTCCTCTTAGAGGTAACTTGACAATTTTACAATTCTTTAAACAGTTACAGTATATAAGTTCTAATTAAATAATGTTTGTTTATAAAGAGCTTAGTTCATACAAAAATAAAATGTATTAAAAATCCTAAAACTTCATCAATTGCTTTAGATTAAGTAATAGTTTTTACCTACAACGGTTTTTAAACTGGCCGTATCAGTTCAGTTCATAGAATTGAAAATATTCACTTAACAGCATTGTTGTTGTTGTTTTACTTAACAATGTTTTACTTAACCAACGAGGTTCAAGGATTGAGAGAGAAGAAGCAAAATTGTAATACCAAGACAATAAATACTTTAATATAATATTGTAATTCTTTGAACATCAGCTAATCAGCTGTTCAGACCAATTTAATTGTTAGTGAGTGGTGCAATTACTGTTTAGTACAGTGATTCGTTGCATCACTGTCAGTGGCAATGAGAGGTTATAAACGAAAACATAACCTCTCTCAGAAGTTATGAGTAGTGATTGTTAGTAATTATAAATCTGTCGTAGGTAAAGCAGTATTAAAGTAGTAAAAAGTAAAGTAGTAGGCTTATTCTCGTAGAAGTTTTTAAGGCACTTGCCAAGGCTCATACCTAAAATTTCTACTTGTATTGTTAACACTATCTTTACTCAATCGTTGCGTAAACTACTATAAAATCCATATAGTAATGTGACCAAAAATGTATATAAAACTTAAACAAATGGTTCAGGTATATCCAAATCTGTTGCTTAATATTATAAGGCTGCCACTAAAAATCTCTATTATTTGATATTAGATATTATAGAGAACATTTTATTCTGTGAAAGATTATCTGTCCTGTCTTTTGTTGTTTTTATCAGTTGATGGCTACTGTTTGATAATACATTATTGACTATTTGATACATGTATACACACATGCCAATGGCAAATGAAGAATTCTTTTTCCTCTTTTTTATCTTATCAAATCTACTTGGAAGGATTTTTTTAAGGCAAGTATCGCAATGTATCCGCAATCCGTATTTCAATTGAATCAGATAATGTAAGGACAAAAATTGAAGGCATGATTTGAATTTTCAGCAAGTCTGGAGCCGACATTTCACCAACTAGAGGTAATGAAGCTGGATAAGTCTCCCTTTGTGATAATCTCCGTGGTGGGCCAAGAGTTGCTGGGAGCAGGACAGTATGCTGCGGCCGTCGTGGTGTTGGAGTCAGCGCTGCGGATAGGAACATGTAGCCTCAAACTGCGGGGCTCTGTGTTCTCTGCTCTATCATCTGCATATTGGGCACTCAACAAACTGGATAAGGTACTAACGACTGACAAAATTATCCACAAGTATAAAATTGTTTATACTAAACAAGCCTTCAATACAACCTTATCTGTTGCTGTCTACATACATTCATTTATTTTAATGGTTTAAGAAGGCTTATTTGTTCTTCGCCAGGCTATCAGCTACATGCAGCAGGACCTGACAGTAGCTAAGTCATTGGGAGACATCGCTGGGGAGTGTAGAGCTCACGGCAACCTAGGATCAGCGTACTTCAGTAACGGGAGCTTCAAAGAGGCTCTGACAGCTCACAGATATCAACTAGTCCTGGCCATGAAGTGCAAAGACACCCAAGCAGCAGCCTCCGCACTCACTAGTCTTGGTAATCATCCTTTACATTTTTATTACCGAGTAAGGTGGATCACCGTTTAAGCTTTTGTGGATAATTAAGCTGTTAATAATAATAATAAAGCCCATCATTGTCTTAACCCTTTGAGGTAGAATTTTTTACCCATTTCCTGGCGAGTTTAGTTTGCCATTCAAGCAGTCAAGAAAATGGCACCCGGCGACCTATACTGTCCATTCGGCCAAAAAAATAAACTTTTTTGATTTTTGATATTTTTTTATTTTTAGTATTTTTTTTTGTCCTTATAGGTTGCCATTTTTGAGCAGTCGGCAAAATGGCGGGCGGCGACCTATACTTGCCATTCGACCGCAAAGGGATAAAGGAGTTCCGTGATGGATGATATTTTATTTGCAAACTGTTACATTAAGACATAGTTCTTGCATAGTTCTTTTGGCAGGAAAGCCAAATAACTTAGAGAAAAATCTGTTGTCAGAAATAAAGTACCTAATGTATTTTTTAACACTTCATAGGGCTTAAAACAGAATCACCATCAACTGGAGTTTCCTCTGTCCTGTGTTCGGTAATTATTTCTTTCTGTGCATCTAGAAATCAGTGTAATGACAAACATGCTTTCCTAGAAGTGTTAAAAGGTATATTTTCATAGTTTCCTACATGATATTTGAAAAAAAGATCATAAAATAGTTTTAAAATCTAATAGAAAACATGGCTAAACCTTTCTGATAAATCCAGTACCTGGACACACACACACATACACACACACTAACGGAGGTTTCTTCCGGTACTCAATTTAATGGTGGCCTTGACATTAAAAGTAATTATGAATAAATTGAATATTGTATCTCATTACCAGGATGCATATGAGTAACTGAGTGGGGACTGATTGCTTTACCAAACAAGGTAATATATCTTTTTTTAAGAAGACAAGAAAGATTTTTCAACTGGGTTCGATGGTTCCTGTACACAAAAATATTTAAAATCAAGTGTACAGTAAGTGTGGATGCGGAATACTACCCCCCGGAAAACCCCCCTAGCAAAATGTGATGCTATGTATTAAAGTTAATTTCATACTTAAGAACTATCATTGCAATTGTTATTCAAGTAATTCCATTTGATAACAGAAAAGGCATGTGGGGAATATCAAACTGAATTTTTAAATGTTACAGCAAGTTTGGTTAGTTAGGTTAGGTTAGTTTAGAACCGTTTGACAACGAAACTTGAGTGTCCGTGACTGAAAAACTGCCCCACTCCCCCCCCCCCCCGATCTCTGACGTCAACATGACGTAGGAACCTGATAGGGGGGGGGCAGACTTACAGGCGACTCCAGTAAGTCACACTCATTCCATTCTGAGTGCCAAAGGACTCTTTCCCAAACTCAGACTTTGGTCTTATGGGGAACACTTCCATTCAAAATCCTTAACTATTGTAGGCATTTGTATATTTTTTCTGTAAATAAATAATCTTATATCTTGTACCGGTACTAACAAGTTAATTTTAATAATTTAATTTCAGGCCACGTGTACACTGCAATAGGAGACTATCCCAATGCTCTAGCCTCCCACAAGCAATGTGTACAACTGGTGAAACAAATGGGTGATAAACTACAAGAAGCTCGGGAGATTGGCAACGTCGGGGCTGTATACTTGGCTATGGGAGAATTTGAAAGTGCTGTTGACTGTCACACTCAGCATTTAAGATTGGCAAGACGTCTTGGAAACCAAGTACGCATTTTTGTAGCTTATTTAATTCTATAGAAATGTCATAATCAACCATTAGAGTACCTAATATTTATCTTTTACATGCATAATTTTCTTTTCAAGAGGTTTAATGTTAGAGGTATTATTTTTTTAGTGGGTATAATTCATTCCAGTTAACAGATGAAGGGTTTTGAATCTCTTAATAGTAAACCATTGACAAAATTGTAATATAAAATTGTATTGGCATTATTTTGGTAACTTAAAAGATGTTTGGTATTATAAAAAGTACTTAACACTTAACATATAAATTATTAACAACCCTCCTTATGGTTCTTATCTTCCAAGTACAAATTTTATTTAAATAATTAAGTTTCATTAGGAAACACACGTTACATAAAATATTTTATCCAAATGTTTAAATTACATTGTTCCTGGTTAAAGTGATTTATTTTTATCTTTGAAATATCGATAACTGTTTTAAATTTACTGTGCAATATCAAATGTCAAAGAAATGATCCCAAGAAATTATAAAGCAATTTTTTTCTGGTTCTATATTTTTAGACTTTGATTTTCCATATCAAAAAAGAAATTTTTAGATCAGTTAAGACTAAGCAGAAAGTAAATAAAAAGAGTTAAATAGGAATAATACTATTATTTATACTGACACAAAATCTTTGTGTATCCAAGGTGGAAGAGGCCAGGGCTTACAGTAACCTAGGATCTTCACACCACTATCGCAGAAACTTTGCTCAAGCCATTGTCTACCATGAGAATGTTCTAAGGATAGCACAAGAGCTAGGGGACCGTGCTGTAGAGGCTCGAGCGTTTGCTGGTCTAGGACATGCTGCCAGATGTGCTGGCGACTACAATCAGGTACACCTCCCTGTAAAGTACTCCCTAATATTTGAATTATTCTGGATGGATTTCTAGACTCATCCTTCACTTATATTTGGTTTTAAATGTGTCCAGTTCTGTATCAATTGGTAAATAACAATAAATAATGCTACTTCTGAGGTGTAAGTCTTACCTTATTGACTCTTGTAGGTGTTTTCTCTTTAGATTAATTTTTTTTATACAATGATCCTATAAAATTTTATATTTCCATGTATTTTCAGGCCAAAAGGTGGCATGAGAGGCAGCTTGATATGGCCCTGAGTTCGCGAGATCGTGTTGGAGAGGGTAGAGCCTGTTCTAACCTTGGTATCGTTTACCAACTGTTGGGTGAACACGACGCCGCACTCAAACTACATCAAGCACATCTCAGTATAGCACGACAACTAGGCGATCGCGCAGGCATGGGACGAGCTTATGGCAACATTGGAAATGCCTACAGTGCCATGGGCTATTACGAACAGGTATTGTTTATGTTTCTGTAAGAGTTTGTTTGATTTAAGTTTATCAATGTTTACTAGTAGTAGTAACTTACTTACCGCACGAATTGATGCGTTATTACACCATCCCGTAATTATAGTTGCAACGTTCCACGATCCCAGTGACTTAATGCAATAACGGTCGTCAGATAACAGATGTTATGGAATCATGAGTTTTATATTGATTGAAGCTTATTGTGGACATTTTATAGATTGATCGTCCAAATTAAAAAGTTTTGTAGACTAAATTGAGGATAAGTGGATGTCTAACAAAAACGAATTGACTTTACTACTTAATTAATCGTAGAAAGACTGAAAATATTTGTAGGCTTATAAGCTCTATTTTTTACCTCTTGAACAAATCAAACACCTCGAGCAAGATCGGTCCCCTGGTATTTGTGTTTTAATCAAACATTGTCACATTTATTTACATTACTACAACATAAACAACTGACATAAAACTTGTCAGATAATGAACATCAACTAAGACAATGTTTTGACACTTGAGATGAAATATCAATCACCAAACAAACATTTCTCCTTCCCACCCATCAGTGCTTGGGGTGTTGATAATGGCCGTCACTACCCTTCCACAGGCCCACTGCATTCCAAAGCAACTGGACTTTGACTTTCTCTTTCCCCTACCCCCGCGTTGTTTGTCTACAAGGGCACTGACCTCTCACGACCGCACGCAACCCTCACTGATCACGTGAAATAAATAACCAGTATTTGAGATGCTTCCGCATAATTGGGAAAGTTAGTTGAAAATTCTAACTAGTTAGAAGTTATTAGTTAGTCCTGTAAAAAGTAACTGATAGAAGTTATTAGTTAGTTAATTTAAAAACAAACGAATAAAATAGAAGTTAGCCAAAAAAACTAATGAATAGTGCTATTCGATAGAATTTCTATTCGTTATTCCCAAGTATGGTAGTAAGTCACCTTTATTAAGGTGTTATGAGCTAAGTAGGAATTCTGCCTGAGTGGGAATTGGTAATGATTGTATTATAAGCTGAAAAAGTTACCAAGTATTAAGTGACTTGGTCCTAGGTAGGTTTCCAAGAAGTAACTAAAGTCATTATTTCAATCATTATTTCACATATCGTTATTGACAATGACAACTGTTTAAAACTTCTTGAAATTTAAGCAAATTCATACTTGGTGAATTAGTTATGACAGTAATATTTTAGCCAAATGGTGATTTCAATTTTGTACCTGATCTTCATGTTTTTGCATATATTTACAAAATAAACTAATTTCTTGAGAAAAGACAGATTAGAACCACATTTAGTAAATTTGTGTAAGCCTATCAAAGACTACATTATGACAACATTATTATGATACAATAGATATTAAAATACTTTCTGGTTTTTCAATTCATATTTTAGGCCATTAAATACCACAAGCAAGAATTGACGATATCAAAAGAGGTAAAGGACCGAAGTTCAGAGGCTTCGACACATGGAAATCTCGCTGTTGCCTACCAAGCCCTTGGCGCTCATGAGATGGCCCTGCTGCACTACCGCGCTCATCTCAACATCGCGCGCGAGCTGAAAGACACTGCTGGCGAGGCTTGTGCCCTCCTCAACCTTGGCAACTGTCTCAGCTCAAGGGCAGAGTTTGCACAAGCTGTGCCATACTATGAGAACTACCTCATGTTATCCCAGGTGTGTAACTGTAAAGAGGTGTGTGAAAACAAAGTGAAAGATTTTGTTGTTTTAATATTGTGGCAAAACTCTCTTTTTGTTTGTCAGTTACTTTGATTTAAATTCATAACTGTGCTTGTTCTTCTAAACACTGTTTTCAGCAGTTAGTCCAAAGTTTTTTCTAAGGTCCATGTTTTAAAAACGAGGATTTTCCTACCTTCCTTCTTGTTTATGATCCAGGATGCTGTACCATGAAACAGTACGGGTCTAACTATTTTGTAGCATTTCATTTTATAATAACGCCAGATAAGTCTTGAACTAAACAGCTTAATGCAAAAAATATTTACCTTAGACTCTTATTCTTTTGGTTTTGGTTTTGCTCTTTGGTGCCTCTTAGTCTTTTAGTTTTGGGTAAATTAGTAGACCTACTAATTTATGAGTGTTACTCCCATACATAAAGTTTTAACATTTTCAAAATTATAGATCCTACATCTTAAGTTTTTTACATTGTTTCTTTTTATGTCACCATAGTTAAATGTTATAACTTTTATTTCCAGGAACTCCATGATGTGGAGGGAGAAGCTAAGGCTTGTCATTTTTTGGGGTATGCCCATTATTGCCTGGGAAACTTCCGGGAGGCAGTACGCTACTACGACCAGGACCTGGCTCTAGCCAAGGACCTGCAGGACAAGATGAACATGGGCCGAGCGTACTGCAACTTGGGATTGGCCCACCTTGCCTTGGGGAACCTAGAGACTGCCCTAGAGTGCCAGAAATACTTTCTAGGTAAGGGACAGCATTCAATACTGAAAAAAATGTAAGTCACTTTTAAATTCCTGGCTGGTTGTTTACACAAACTTTCTGAAATGTATATTTTAGTGATAAAGTTGTACCATTTGATTTATCATTCAGTTTTGAATTATTTCTTTTGATTCAGTGAAGCAAAGGTGTGAGGTTAATCCAACCTCATTTGGACCAGTTCAAGTCACAACATAGTTAAACTTGCCAAATATAAACAGTAAATCTATGGTAAAAAAGAGATTGGGTAAAGTACTAAATATCTCTTTTTCTATACACACTCTCCACAATGGTGCATACTAACAGATCTTATGGTCAGTTTTTAAAAGTTCTTTATTTATTAGTGTGATTTTTTTTTTTAGTTAATGAATACTGCAAACAAGTAGAACTTCTGAAATATATGAATTTTGAAACAGGACACTTACTAAACAACGTTATCTATATCAAACTATCCAATCCTTATCAATGTTACAGCTATAGCTCACATGACGAAACACCTACCTGGGAAGTTTAGGGCCCTCGGCAACATTGGAGATGTCCTCATCAAGATGGGGGATGTGGAGGAAGCTCTCAAGATGTACCAGAGGCAACTTTCGTTTGCCAGACAAGGCCGAGACAGAGGTCTGGAGGCTACTGCGTACGGAGCTCTAGGCCTCGGCAACCGCTTGCTCAGATGTTTCGACAAAGCATTAGGTTACCACACACAGGTTAGTTTGTTGAAAAACAAAAGTCTATCGACATTTTCAGTTCTAGTGTTAGTTAGTGTTAATTTGTGTCCTTATCAGCTTTGAGCAAATACATACTTAAGCAATTTTATTTCATATATTCATGTGGTAACTATATAATATATTCATTCTCCTCAATTATACTTTTAATATTTAGCATATATACCCAGGATTTTCATTTTATAAAGTGAGCTGTCATGTCCAGCTTAATAAAATATCAATACAAACTAAATACAAAAGCTTAATTTAAGTTTAAAATGTAAATATTTTTTAATTTAAATAAAAATAATCCAATACTGCCACTACTTGTAAGTTATTGAGGTTTATAAAGACTTGCCAATAAAATATTCTTTAGAGCTATGGTAAAACCCTAAATAAAGTTTTACTAATTTTAGTATGAATTATTATTTAGTGCTTTTAGTATCGTTTTGGCTAAAGACATAATTTCTGGATGTTATTAAATAACTTTGACAAAATACTTGCCCTAAACATATAAACATTAAATTGGATAAATATGGAAAACGTCTACTGGAAAATTTATAAACTGGAAAACAAACTTTTGAATTGAGTTATGATTATACCCAAATGGAAAACCCCTAACATCTGAAACATCTAATTTATTTAAGTCTGTTTGAAGAAAATTGTTTGGAAAAACCAATTTGCTTTACCAATCTTGTGTTTTTGTGTTCTGAATCTTGAGGATACCATCTAAAAGTTCTATGTGTGGATTAAAAAAAGGATTAAAAACACAAATTTATTTTGAAGACTTTTTTAAAACTTGTAATGTAAATAAGTCTCTCAATATACAAGCCAAACACATTACAAATCCAAATCTGTTTGTCAAATAAAAGATTATTCGTATAGTTCTTGTTTTCTCGAATCTTAGCTAAAAATACAGACTAAATAATTGGAGTCAACCAGCAAACTGCTATAGTTCTTTCAAATCACAACTAAAGTTCATTGGCTAAATAGCTTAGAACCATTATTTAGGATACGGTCATAATACAAAATTAATCATGAAAAAGTCTTTTACCACGAGGAGAAGTTGATCTTGATTTAAGAGTGCCAAGACTACCTAGGATTCTTTATTCTTGTAGATAAATTTACGATGTATTCTTCTCATCTTTCAAACTATAGATTTGCAATAATTTAAGAAGATTATTTGATTTTTGTGACAAAATAACTGAGAGTCCTTTGTTTATCAACTCTTTAGACTACAGTATTTTTACAGTTTGTTTAGTCTCTACACAGCACATAGGATAAAGTTTGAAATATTTTCTAGGAGTTGACTGTGAGGCAAGAAATGGGAGACCTCAAGGGAGAATGTCGTGCTCACGGTCACCTAGGAGCTGTCCACATGTCTCTAGGAAACTACACTAACGCCATTAAATGTTACCAAGAACAACTAGAAAGAGCCAAAGAATTACGTGAGAGCGCTGTAGAAGCCCAGGCCTTTGGAAATCTGGGGATTGCTCGGCTCAATATGGGCCATTACGAGGATGCCATTGGCTACTTGGAGCAACAACTTGCAACTTTAGAGCAACTATCCTCTCCTACTGCCCTCATGGACAAGGTTTTCAAATTTGATAAGCTTTGTATAACACAGTATGGTTTTATTTGTATGTCAAGTGAGAATCTTTGTTTTTCTTGTAGGGGGGATTTTCCTGATAGGGAAGGAGCTATTACTGTTGTCTTCCTCGTAAGACGTAGTTCTGAGACTGTTGTACTTTTATTTTTGCTAACACAAACCATAAACACTGTTTTTTCAAATCATTACCATAAAGGTTTGTCAGTACTGTAACTCTCATAAACATCTGTTTTGATTGAAATGTATAAACCAACGTTATTTGAAAGGGCTTGAAAAATCTAACCATGAGAATGGGTCTTTTGTACCTCTAAAACTATGTTTACAAATCAAATCAACTTAAAGAGACAATTAGTTTTATGTAGTTTTTTAATCTACACCTACAGGTATAATTAAATTACAAAACGAAAACAGTAAACACATGCATTGCCTCCCAATTTATCTGTCTGAAGTGTAGATTGCTTGTTTAGAGGTTTATCCCCATAACATTTAGCAAATATTTTTTTAGAGTCCAACCGAACCAATAATATTTTGTGGTTCTTGTAACAGCAAACTTTATCTTTTATTGAGCCGATATTAATTACACTGGATGTGGATCAACTATACATTCTCTTGGTCAGTTAGTTTACTGCTGAGAGAATTACAAAAATGTTCAATCTTAAATCAGGATCACTCTGAGAAAGAAGGAATACAAAGCTCATTGTAATTAAGTACTATTTATCATAAACATGTATAATGGGGTACGTTAAATAATGTTACTAATTAAGTAATTAATGATTTTGATGAAAAAACTGATAATGAATTTTTGGTCAAATTACGAGGCATGTTTTTTAAGTAAGTACCGTTTTTAAATTTCTCCGGTGCAGCGCTGTGATTGGCATTTTGGACACTTTCGCTGTATATGTGCATCTATTGGCAAGCCCTAGCCGGAAATTCAACAACAATCGGCCGTGTTTACATCCGGTATCGAGCATTCAAAATGGTGCCGCCAATTGAGACTGCTGCCGACTGTGAAGTGCGCGCTGTAATTCGATTTTTAAGTGCTAAAGGTGTGAAAGCCATTGAAATTTATCGACAGATTAGTGATTTGTATGACGAGAACATTAATGAGTGACAAAATGGTACGCAAGTGGGTAAGGGCCAGCGAACACAGAAGGGCATCAAAGATGGCCCCACCAACGTCCATCATGAGCAACGCACTGGGCAGCGTCACTGTCCCCAGTACCCAGTGCGTTGCTCATCATGAACGTTGGTGGGGCCGTCTTTAGATGCCCTTCTTGGTTCGCTGGCCCTTACCCACTTGCGTACCATTCCGTTACTCATAAATGTTCTCGCCATACACCTCACTAATCTGTCGATAAATTAAAATTCACACCTTTAGCACTTAAAAATCTAATTACAGTGCACACTTCACAGTCGGCGGCAGTCTCAATTGGCGGCACCATTTTGAATGCTCTATACCTGATGTAAACACGGCCGATTGTTGTCGAATTTCCGGCTAGGGCTTGCCAGTAGATGCACATATACAGCGAAAATGTCCAAAATGCCAATCGCAGCGCTGGAACGGAGAAGTTTAAAAACGGAACTTACTTAAAAAACATGCCTCATATAAATATTTTTACTTACATAATCTATGTTCCAGGGTCGAGCTTTTGGGAATTTGGGAGATTGTTACGATGCACTGGGAGATTTAGAGGAAGCAGTGAAGTGCCATGAACAACACTTAGCTATAGGACTGAAACTGAAAAGCTCACGAGACCTGGAACGAGCTTATCGGGGTTTGGGTCACTCCCACAAAAGACTGGGGAACTTACAACAGGCACTCGTCTGCTTTGAGAAGAGGCTAGTAGTCGCACATGAGCTCAACAACCCAGAGGCTAAAGCTAGCGCTTACGGAGAACTTGGACACATCCACACAACTCTTGGCAACTACGAACAAGCCATCTCATGCTTGGAACATCAGCTCACAATAGCTCGGTAAGTGTTAGGTTGCATGTTTCAATAGTGATTTTAAAAATATATTCTACTATCAAGTTTAAATGTATGTCCAGAATATAAGTTCCTTCTCTTATTGAATGGGTAGATTTTCAAGTAGTATCTGCATATACTCTAATGTGTAAGTGTAGGTTATTACAATAGACAATTCCTTTATTACAATTTCATCAAGAAATGTTACAGCGTCAAATTTAAATAAATAACATTGGTATAATAGATACAAAGTGAAATGGAAAAGCTTCTTCAGTGTTGTGTGTGATCTTGCCATGCAAAGAACTCCTTTAGGGTGTAGAAAGCTTTGTCTAGCAGCCATCTTCGTAGCTTCCTCTTCATCAGCACAGGGCCTCCAATTTTCAAGTGGTCTGGTAGCTTGTTTAGCATCTTCACTCCTGCATACAGTGGTTTCTTTTCAAACGTTGCTGTTCTGTGCCCAGGCAGCACATAGTTTCCTGCATATCTGGTGTTGTATTCATGTATATCTCTTTGTTTAGGCGGGTCTTTGGTTACACAGTAATAAACAGTTTCTTGGATGTAGATGGAAGTCACCGTCAGGATGTTCAGGTTTTTGAAGGCATCTCTACAGCTTTGTTCTTTACTTATGCCTGCTATTATTCTGATAGCCCTTTTCTGCATAACCAGGACCCGGTTAAGATTGTCCATAGTGGATCCACCCCAGACAGTAATACCATAGTGTATATGGCTTTCAAACAATGTATGGTATGCAGTCCTCGTTGCCTCAGGGGTACTAGTCTCGTTGATTTGTTATTCAGTCGGATATGCTGGGATCAAAGACCAATAAGCTGCTTAGCCCCTGGAAAGTCTAGAATTGGAAGGTTATATCCTAGAATTATTTTACCTGCAACTACATCAGTTCAACCAGAGCCACTTTGGTAAATTGGTCCGGGCCCAGGGGCGCTAGAGAGTTTGGGGTTTTCAGGGACGCAAGGAAGAGAAAACTTCCCCCGCAAAGAAGGGAGGAGGAGGGCACAAAAATCTCTCGGGGCCCATAGTGCATTACTAGCAAAACACAGGCCTAAGTTTAACAAATAAATTTAAATATTGATTTTTTAAATAATACAGTCTAGTCACATAATTATAAATCACTTCATGATCAGCATTGTACGTGTTATTAAATTTACAGAAAGTAAATAAAAGAAACAACTTATAACACCTACCATCTTTGGTACAATCTTTTTTGTATATTTACCATCTTGTGAGCAACAGTATAAGCGTAAATAATTGTTTTAAAAGTTATAAAATGTTTCTTTTATTTACTTTCCGTCACATAATAAAAAAAGGAAATAAATTCAAAAGAACCCAAATAAACACTTGAAGTAATTCTATAGTGGCTGTGTATACTACCATTAGTTTCATAAGCACTAGTACAGTAGACTTAACTGACCCTAACGGGACCAGACCTAGGTTGAGATTACTCAAAAGGTCGGATAAAACAGGCAGTCCCTAAAAACAAAAGAAATGAAGAACTATTCATTTGGAGTTATATTATCATCATTCTGAAGTTGTGCGTGGATTATTACAAAATAAACTACACTTTACTCCTTTTTTCTTGTATTGACGATAGAAAAGTAAAATATAAACCCAAATCACTGTAAGTCAAATATCGATATTACGGATATTATTGGATAGTCGTAGGCAAGAGTCAATAACAATTCTTACTTTAATACCTTTGGTAATATTAGTTGATGATTCCAAATGTATCTTAATACTGCACAGAACTTACTGTCAAAATTAAAGATACAAGCAACCATTTTGTTACGAAACAAGATGTTTATTTATACCGTAACATCCTGTAGAGTTAAGCATATTGTTACCATTGCCGAGAGTGGGAGCAGAAATGCTGAGATTCCTAGAAAGCAGCACAGCGGTTAACCCGAACTGCTCTCAAAACAAGGTCGGTTAAATCAAAAGGGGGATAATCTGATTATCGGTTAATCTGAGGTCGGTTAAGAGGGGGTCTACTGTACAAAATTCCCTTCAATTAGTAAAAATCGCTCGTAATTTTGATAGCTTAAATTAAATAAGCTACAGAAATTATGACAATTTATAGCCACTAAATATGAGACTAAATAGTCACTAAATTTTCAGAGAGCTGAAAGACAAAGTAGCAGAGGCAGATGCAGCATGTGGGCTTGGCCAGGTGTACCAGCAGATGGGAGAGTACTCTACAGCTCTGAGGTATCATCAAGCCGACCTGGACATTGCCGAGGAACTAAACCTTGCAGCCCTGCAGGGTAGAGCTTGTGGTAACCTTGGAAGTGTTCACGAGTCACTCGGCAACCTGGACGAGGCTGTGCGTTACCAAGAGCAACATCTCTCAGTTGCAGCTCAGACCAACGACAAGCTCGCCAAGACCGTTGCGTTTAGTAGCTTAGGTTGGTTTAGGTGTAATAGAGATGTTGTGTGCTTAGCCTCATAATTCTTAAGAGTTTTTTTTTGTGATTTTGTTAAAACTGTGTTGCTATGGATAATTTAAGTATTCATTTATTCTCAAGTCAATCAAGAAGCTAACAACTGTCCCATTAGCCTGGCCGATGGGAAATCAACTTGTGTAAGAGTTTGTTTAAGAGCACTTTTCTTAACCAATCAAATTATGACAGGATTACATTCTGATTTCAACTTTGTGCATTACAGTCCTAGTGTAAGGAATTGTATCTTTACTTATTTTATTAATTAAAGATATTTTTTCTAAATTCCAATTGCGATAGATAATTTGGGTCTTTTCTAAACTGACATCTGTGAAAGCTAAAAAGTCCTTTTTTGAAGTTTGTCTAGAATATGATCAGAACCTCAGGTGAGAGAGTACCTAAAAGATAAAAATATGAGTACCATACCTAACATCTTATCACCATCTTATGATCTTAGGTAGGTATTTTTTCCCTAAGGACAGAATTTGATTCCAAATCCTGAAATGTAGTTGAAACTTTTTTTTGTTACTGTTGTGGAAAATGTTTGTAATTATCCCTTTAAGGGGAGCAGTGCGCGAATACCACTCCCATGTTATTCTTATGGGAAAACATGTGATTAGATAGGTACATTTATTTTTAAAACCGTTAGATGTATTGACTTAAATTTTTGTATATTCATTCCTTAGATTGTTTTATATGATTTCATGCTATATAAATTACAGCTAAAAACCAAAATTTAGAAGCGAGTAATTTATTTTAGCTAAGCCAAAAACACTAACTACACACTTTATGTCGAACATGAGTTTCAGTTTACTTGATAATATAATATTTAATATAATCCAATGACTGCTATTTAGGTGTGTTAGTTAATAACTAATGTGTTATATTCCAGGGCGTATTCACCATGCATTGGGCAACACTAGTCAAGCAGTGGCATACCTGCAGCAAGGTCTGCAGATTGCTGAGATGTTGGGGCGCCGGGAGGAAGAGGCGAGGATCCGCCACCGCCTGGGGCTGGCGCTGTGGGGCAACGGACAACTAGAGCAGGCGCAAGCTCAGCTGGAACAGGCAGCTCACCTGCTAGAGTCCATCAGACGAGAGACCAGGGGCTCTAGCGATTACAAACTATCCCTCTTTGACCTCCAGACCGCATCCTATCAGGCGTTACAAGTATGCATCATGTCTGCCTATAAAAACAAATGTGATAACGAAATAGTTGTTTGAAAAACAGTATATTCATAAACAATGTAGATTAGCCAAACACAAATGCATGGATAGCAAACAGACTTGAACAATTTATCTTAACATTTCAGATAGTTGCTATTTTTTATACTTGTTGAAAATTATTTACTCAAAACACAAAAAAAAAAGTAAGCTACAGTTAAAGGAATTCAGCAAATAGAGGTGAAGAGAGAGAAATATACTTTAGGCAAGTTACTCCACCTCTTTGAAAGCTTAATCGAGCAAAAACTGTAGGTAATCTCTAGTCAATCATAACTTTGAACAATCCAGGCCCAGGTATTGCATCCACCAGCAAAGTTCTGGTGACACATTTACTCTCCGAGGGTGAGAAGTAGAGGTGTGCGAGCAATTTAAAAATCCAACTGAACCACGTATATTGTGCAAAATATCCAGTGGAAGTAACCGATTCATTTGTAACACTATGTCCCTGTATTGTTGGTAATCATCTGTAGTTGGGGCGGCAAATAGTTGCAGTTTCATCAGAACCATCATCAGACATCACAAGGACAACATTTTCCAAATGAAGGTGTTATACATACATTTACAATGCAAATACTTGATGCACAAGAGTAGAATAATGTATGACACAACACAGCGAGAGTTTAGGTCTCGTTTTGTTATTAGTCGTTTTAATAAGTGGCTTTTTTACCTCTATGAGAAGGTTAGTTAATTTAGTCCTGAAATACTCTTGTGGCCAATATCACATGAAACAAGTTTTGCCAATAAAAAAATAATAAACTGTCCTTGAATCCCTGCCTTGTAACACGGGAAAAATAACAACAAGACTGTACTCGTTACTCGGCTTGGTAGTAGATGACAAGAAGCAAAGGTAAGTTTGTGGCTGTATGCAGCGACAGCAATGGTCAACAACATGGAGATCACCACAGAAGCATGTTGTTCATGATGAAATAACTTTCAAATTGCAATGCTAAGAATGAAACTAATTCTTTGTTTATACACTTAGAACCAACAGCTCTTTCAACTTTACATTACACCAGTAGGAAAAGATTTCTAACTAAAGTTTCATAGATTATACCCATGAATAAATTCCTTCTTGTTAGTGTTATTCCACAGTTGACATAATAGTTCAGGAGAATTAAATGATGGCAAAAGACTAATTAAAATACCCTTCCACCAATAACATAGACACTGTATTACAAAAATCACATTGAACTTTTTTTCTGTTTTCTGTTGTGACGGACAACACAATGTAGCATTTACATTTCTATCTCTTGATGACATTTCTGAATGACTTCTTTCCCCACCACTCTTAGTGATTCGTACACTTTACAAATAGAATGAAAAATCTTAGTACCGTACTTAAAACAAAGACTTAGAACTTGGAAACTATTCCTTCCTATTCCTACAGCCTAGGCAGTAAATTATTGCTACATTAATCATATCTGTCAGATTGTATTGTATAAGATTATAAAGTAAGAGACACAAAGCTCAATCAAGCTTTTGTGGATGAGGGAAAAATATAAAATCCAGGAGTAAATCTGACCAAAATACAGTAGTATTATTGTTTTTATAACTCTTTGATCACAGTTTCAGTTAGTAATCCAAGTTCGACGGTAAATAAATATATGAACAAACCTTCTCTAAACTACGAACAGCATCAATGACTTTTGATAAGAGAAACACAGATACGCTAATCATTAGTCTAGTCACGGCAATGTTTTGAAACATTTTTTCATAAGTACGGTAGGTTCATAATATAATATGTGTATAAAAGTAACATGTTACGTAATTCAAGCCAAATTTTATAAAGGTACTTTGAGAGATTAGTTTGAAAAATATTCCTAAAAGGTGCAAGCAAGTAGTAGTACTGTACTTAAATACCAAATCATATTCCATTCTCGTTATTATGTATTATTAATAAATCAAGTTTTTGATTGATTGATTGAGATTTTAATTTGAACCCCTTTAACACGTTCCCTGCGTTTACCCGTCACGCGAAACTACTCACGGGTGCGCGTGACAGGTTTACCCGTCATTGGGTCCCTTTCAATACATTGATTCATTTTGAGCTCTGTGTTTGCCTGAAAACGTTATAATTGTTGCCAGCTGTAGCTTAGAATGTGAGCTTTATTTTGGTGAAGGTTGGTAGCAATATTTCCCGTAAAATCCTGTCTGGCAATGCATTCGTCCCGGTTTCGGGGATTTTCTCTTTTTGAGCCACATTACAACGTCACCGACTATGGATACAGGCAGTGCTGCTACCTTTGAGTGTTTCAGTGAACTACATCCACTCTCGGGGTAACACAATACAATCACCGCTGCTCTTTTGTTATTCGTCAGACTGAAATATTTGAATGCCAATTGCGTTCGCTGATTCGGTGGTGCGCCGGGGCTTCGCCTGGGCCTCGCCGCCATTGGCGAGCGCCTGTTGTATGCTGCAGTGAATGTGTTAATCCATGTTCTTATTATATTCTTAGTTATAAAATTGACATTTTGGATAAAGGAGATGCTTGAGCAGTTACATTTTATACCAAAAGTGTATCTTTTATATTAAAAGAACCCAAAGAATCATAAACACTTTTTTTGACATTATCTCAGCGGAGGAGTTAGATAAGCTAAACCTATGCAACAAGTTTTTTTAAAGCCATTTAAGATCATTCTTATCCAAACCTAAGCTCGCACACCTGAACTTTAAGGTTTAAACCCAAAAAAAGTTTAATGCACCAAAATGGATTCAATGGATCGTTAAATTTATAAAAATCTTACCACAGTATAAAAATAATTTTTTTTTTCTTTTATAGCATGTGCTAGTGGGACTTGGAAGAAGGGACGAGGCGTTGTTAGTGGCTGAGAGGGGCCGAACCAGAGCTTTTGTAGACTTGTTGTTGGAACGTCAGGGCTTCGTTGAGCCAAACAGCAACTGCAATCAACTGCGCTACGATGCGACACCAACCTCCGTCGACCAACTAGTCGATATAGTCAACCGACAACGGGCCTGCGTTCTGTACTACAGTCTGGCTGCTGGCTTCCTTTACTCTTGGTTTATTGTTCCTGGAAAAGGTGAGATAACTTCTAGCATTGATACTGAAGTAGACATCCCATTTACATGGACCATCTGTAGTTAATCAATTTATGCTAAAATAATATCTGTAATTGATATAAAATGTAATTTATTAAAAAAAAATAATAATTGCAGTTTTACATTTAAATTTTTATTTAAGAATCAAAATACTAAAAATATGTATTTTGAGACTTAAATACAAATTAAAATTTATAGGACTATGTATTGTATTAAGAATAACAAGTTAATGTTTGGAAATATTGTTGTAACTATTATTTTATTCAAATTATTGTCATACAAAATTGAATATTGAAACTATATTTAAAACTTGATAATTTTTAAATAAAGCTTTAAGCCCTTACTTAACTGACCTCGTACTTTTGACACAGACATTTCGTTGTATAACATGCAAGGGAAATTGTTAATAGTGATAGAAAATAATTGTTATTTTTAGGTATTGTAAGGTTCCACGAGGTAGCCGTTAGTGAGACTGATCGTGAGGGAGAGGACAACAGGGGTGGAGAAGAGATGCTTACGACGAGCGGCTCATTGGTGGAACATTACGTACAGAGTGTCAGAGATTGCTTCGGTGTTCAGTCTCAGTAAGTAATTTATTTTGAATTTTCTTATCCTTTAAAACCCTTCCATAGCTATTGTATAGCTATGAAGTATTGAAGAACTTGTTTTGCAACTAGAAAATCAACAAACACTCTAGGAAAATATTACAGGAAAATTACATAAATCCTATTATGTATGGGAGAAATGCTTCTGAAAAGCGTTAGAGTATAATGTCAAAAAAATTTTTATAGTAGCCAAATCAAAGAAAATTGTCATTTAAATAGGATAGCTGATTACTGGTTTAGTTAAAAAAAAGTGTATGATGCTT